ATTTTAGGGGTAAGTTCCACTTTCCTAGAAATAAGCCATTTCAGAGGCAAAAAGTGAGATAGAGCCTCTGGGCCAGGAAACCGGATGGTGCTGGCAGCAGAGTAGTGGCCCTGCTGGCCTTTTTTGTGGGGCTTCCCACCTCATATCCAGTGTTATTTTGGGGGTTTTGTGGGGTATGTTTCATTTTTTGAGGGGAGGGGGTAAATTTACTTATTTTATTTGTTATCATTATTATTTTTATTTAACAGAGGTACTGGGGATCAAGCCGATGACCCGGTGTATGCTAAGCATGCACGCTACCACTGAGCTATACCCTCCCCACTTTTACCCAGTGTTAGAACAAAACAAAAATTTAATTAGGAGATATTACATAAATGTCTGCCTTTCCATCTTCTCTTGAAATTTTGGCCAAGCTGGCCACTCCAGGTTCACGTTCTGATGCAGCCTGAGCCTTCGGCCCAGCTGGAGCTGTGTGGGCAGAGGCTGCCCGCAGTAGATCTACCCTCAGGGACTCTGTTTACCTCGGTCCCCACCTCTCCCTGTTGTTTCCTGCCAGCATGCTTTTCTCATCTCTGCTACCTAGAAGGCCCCTCTAGGCATTGCAGCCTGTGGCCTTGGCTCCAGTCTCTCTCCAGTCATTCATTCAAAAAGTACTCAGTGATCAGGGGCTGGGGGGAGGAGGAAATAGGGAGTTAGCGCTTGAGGGGGACAGTTTTGGTTGGGGAAGATGAAAAAGTTCTGGAGATGGATGGTTGTGACAGTTGTACAGTAACACAGATCCACACACTTAAAAAGGGTTAAAATGGAGCAAATATGTCCCCATTAAGTCCATGTCTCTTAAACTAAAAAAAAAGAAAAGGTGAAAATCATAAGTTTTATGGTATGTCTATTTTATCACCACAAATTTCATATCAATAGAATTTAATATTTTTTAAAAAGTGTGCAACAAGTATTAACATCTAGCAAGCCCCAGGCACTCTGCTGGGTGCTAAGTAAGACAGATGTGGTCACCACTGTAGCCTGTGAGACAGACACTAAACAATAATTTCTTCATTATTACTCTTGAACAAGGGCTTCCAAGGGGGAAGCAGCACAGGGTCTGGGGAGATCTTCTCATAAAGGGACCTGAGCAACCTTCTCAGACTATGAGGCGGGGTCGTTCAGAGGATGAGGATGGTAGAGCAACAAGATACAAACAGGGTTAGGTGTGCTGACATCTCCCTTCCCTCCCCTCTGGACCACCCACCTCCAGGCTTCTTTCAGATGAGAAATCAACTTCAGTTTCATTTCAGCCTCTGTTATGCTGAATTTTCTTTCACTTGTATCAAAGCCCGGTGCTTACTAATACACGCTTCCCGTGGAAGACTTTCTCGCCCTCCCAGTGGAAACAAGGTTCCCTGTGGTAAGCTGTCCCATCACTGTCTGCTTCACTCTTTGTGGCAACTGTCTGGTTGTAATGGAATTATTCAATGTTTAGTGTTGGTGTCACAGGCTAGAGCGGTGATCACATTTAGCTTACTTAACGTCACATCCCCGGCTCCCAGCAGAGTTCCTTGGGCTGCTAGACACTGAGCTTTTGTTGAACATAAGAATGAGTGGAGAGAACTGGGCCAGATCAGGGCTTATAATCTTAAAAGCCTACAGAAGCCTGCTAGGTCATGTAAATGAGGAAAGTAGGCAGGCTGTAAACAGGAAGGATGTCTGCATTCCTGCCCAAAGGAGAACACACACGCTCTCCCTTGAAGGACACCCCTTACGCTTTCAGTTCTCTCCCTTAACCCGGACTGAGTCGTTTGGCCATGTCCAGCTGCAAGGGAGGCTGGGAGGTATAACTGAAATTGGGGTAGCCATGAACTCAGCTAAAAACTGAGGGTTCTATTACAAAGGAAGAAGGAGAAAACAGACTTGGGGGACAGCTAAAGGGCTGTGCAGAGAGACAGCTAAGATCTGAAGACTGAGTACAAATTTTCTAGATTAGTGATTCTCAAAGTGTGGCCCACGGGGGTCCCTGAGACCCTTATAGGGGGTTTGCCAGGGCCAGCCATTTTCGTATAAAGTAATAAGGCATTATTTGCCTTTGTCACTATGTTGACATTGCAGTGATGTTGCAAAAGCCATCTGGGTTAGACTGCTGCCTTAGCACAAATTAAGGCAGTGGAACCACACCATGCTAGAGACGTTGTACTCTCACTGCCAGGCACTTGCAATAAAAAAAGAAAAAAATAAGTAATGCCAGTTTCACTTAAGAATGCCCTTGATGAAGCAGTAACTATTAATTTTATTAGCTCTCAATCCTTGAGTACATTGTGTTATGAAATGAGAAGCAGCATAAAGCACTTAGGCTGCAAATAAAGCACAGTGGTTGTCTCAGTAGAAACCCTTGTACGAATGGCTGGAGTTGCAAGCTGAACTCGCCACTGTTTTTTGTGGTAAGGAAAGGCCATGATAACGTGCATGTTGAACCGGTCACTCAGGCTGCTGTGCAGGAGATGGCCTGGAGGAAGGCAGAAGGGAGAGGCCAGGAGACCAGTGAGTCCAGGCAGAGAATGATGATGGTACCCTGGATGGGAGTGGTGGGTGGCAGTGGGACAGAGTGACTTGGACAGACTTCAGAGCTACTTAAAGGGTAACATCCACGGGAATTGGTAAATAAATACTTGGAGGCGGGGAGGTTGGGTGAGGAAGGAGTCAAAGGTTACACCCAGTTTCTTGGGCTTGAGCAGCTCGGTGGATGGTGAACCCTTCACTGAGTCGGGAAACTTGAACAAGAAGTCTGGGAGGGCAGTAGTACGCAGGCCATAAGTTTGGTTTGGGGTGAGTTGAGTTTGCCATGTCTGGTGAGCATCCAAATGGAGAGGCCAATGGAGAGACAGAGACCACATCTGGAGCTCAGGAGAGATCTGGGCTGGAGAGAAATGTTAAAGGCTGGCCAGAGACAAAGGCCCAGAGGAAAAGAGATTGGCCCACAGTTGCTCTGGGTGTCTCAGATGCCTGCTGTCAGTCCACGGGGCCAACGACAATGCTTCAGGTGCCAGGAGCCCCAGAAGCACCCACTGAACTCCTCAGGGCCCTGGAGCCAGGGGCTGTGCGGCGGTTGCCACCACTGCGGTCACATGTCCTCCGTCTGCCTCCCACCTCTTTCCCTGAAGCCCAGGCCAGCTTGTGGTATCACTGATGCAATCTTTCTCTCGCCACCCAACAAAAAAGCACGGTGATGATTTTTCTTGGCACCCCAAGAGAAGCATGGTGGCACTCTGGCCTCTGGCCGGGTTCTGCTCAACTTTTTCCCTTGACTTTGCCATTTTCACTTTGACACCTTCCCTGAGAGGCAGGGGGTGGGGATCCCAGTCCCAGATGGTGACGCTGGGGGTTGGCCCAGGCCCAGGGCGTGGAGGAGCCTCACTACCAGGTTTCCTGTCTCTCGGTTTAAGCACGTCTCTGCAGAAGTAACAGGCGCCCTCCCCAGTGGGCTCCTGCTCCCAGCCCTCACATCAACACACCTGTGCGAGAAGCAGAGGGGAAGAGAGACACAGGCCCAGAGGTAAGAGGGACAGATTGCTCCGTTCCTTCCCGCTGGTCAGGGAGGGGGAGGGGACCGTGGCAGCAGATGTGCTGCAGTGTGCTGGATTCCTGGGTCTCTGCCCACAGCTCTGGCCACCTTCTCTTGCATTTTGTGAGCAGTGATTTTCCCACTGGAAGCTTCCAGAGGCGGGGAACTAGGCCACGCTTCTCCCTTCGTCCCCACTGTGCACAGCTCAGTGCCCAGAGCGGAACGGGCTCCCCAGAGGCTTGGCAGAAGGTTGACTTGGACTCTGAGGGACGGGTGCTTGGGAGCCCCGGGCTGAGAAAGGCCACAAATCATGGGGAGTGGAGATGAAGACAGAGAGGGGGAAGAAGGGAAAGAAAAGAGGGAAGAAGGAGTGGGGAAGACATAAAAAGAATAAACAAATATTAAGGAGGGAGGAGTCCTAAACAAAAGACAGGAAAAGAGAAAACAAAGTAAAAGCAAGAAAAAGGGTGGAGTCTGTTCTAGAGACAATTCTCCCCCAAATCAATCTTCCCAATGACACGGTCAAAAACACCAGAACTCATACTTGCAGCGTCTCAAAAGCCAAATGTTGGATGTCGCTGCCTTTCACTTGCTCCTTATGCGTGTTTTTATGTTTTTCGTCTACTTTTGCAGATTTTTAGGACTTGTGAACAACAGGTCTAAAGACACTTCCACTTCAGTTAGCTTTAAAATGATGAATGAAATGGGAAAGCTAACATTTCCAGAAAGGGTTGAAACAGCTTTTACGGATGACCCGCTGGGAAAGTGATAGATAGCCGTATTTTTAGGTCATACGTCGTTAGAAAAATGGGTTCTGAGAAATTGGCTTTAAGTGTCTCAGCTACTCCGAAAGGGGAACCTAGTGGCGTTAGAAAAGGATTTGCAGGCCCTCCCTGGGCTTGGTGGGTTTGGGGGTGGACGCAGGAGGGGAGATGCTCTGCAAGTGGGATGCCCTGACCGACGCCAGCCTCTCTGCCCTCAGTCTTGTCCCCTGTCCTGAGACCTCCCTGGCCTCAGCCTTGTTCCCTGGGCGTCCTCTGCCTCCTCTTCGTAAGTGGATCCTGGGCCAGGGCCTCATCGTACAGTCAAGGCCCTCAAAATAGGAGAGGCCGCGTCCTCACTAACTCGAAGATTTCGCTCTGGGTGGGAAAGCTCTTCTTGAAAGTCCTGCTCTTGCGGGGCAAACTTTCTGGGGTGCGAGGCTGAGAGTAGAGCCTGATGGGGGAGTCTCCGCACCTCACTTCTGACAATTTCTTGCGCTGTGTGGAGTCTGGGCTCGTACAAAATGGCCGCCCTCTTCACCTCAGATGACGGGCTTCCCAGGGGACCAGGTCAGGGGGAACTCGAGATGCCTCCCTCTTTCAGTGTGGGGGCACTTGGGTAGAGGAGGTCCACCTGAGATACCAGCTGGCTCTGGGCAGACGCCCCGCAGCACCTGGGCCTTGATCCTGGCCCTAGTGGTGAGCTGGCAACCAAGGAGCTGGGTAAACCAAGGGCCTGGCACGTTTTAGGCACTTGGTACATGTTTGTTGAATGAATATCTTTGATGAAGGTGGGTGCGGAGAGGGGCAGGCGGGGGCCTGGGTTCTTCAGCTCCGAAGTTGAGGTCTGTTCTACATCTTTCGGGGGATCGTGGAAGAGGGAGGGCTCCGGTCCCCCAGCGTGGGTGGCTGAGGCAAAGGAGAGGATGGTGGAGGTTGCAGCCACCGAACCACAAGGGTCCCTTCCAGGGACCACGTCTCGAGGAAGTTCATGTGAGGCGGGTAGCAGCAGAGGGGGCGCGTGCGGTGGGGGCGCATCCCGCCGCTGGGCTGGAGGGGCTGATGGGGGGCCGTGGGGAGAAGATAAAAGCGCCTGCGGGACCACAGACTGTCACTGTGGTGGGCTGTGCCCTCTTCCTCACCTCCCCCCACCGCCTGCCGCTCAGCCCAGCCAGGCGGGGGCAGCTCACACGCTCCGAGGGTGTGAAGTGCTGGGTCAATGCTCTGGTCTCTCCTCACCCAACGGCTCCGCTCCTGTGTGTGTCTCGCCTCTCAGAATGTGCTCATCTCTCTCCCTCTGCCCCGACCTTGTTTGCACCGTCCTGGGCTTGGTGTGTGCCTGTACAGCGTGTGAAGTGTCTCTGCTGCTTTAATGAGCTGCTCTGGGTCTCTCCGGGCCTTCCTCTTTCCCTCCCACACTCTCGTCGCCCTCCCTTGGGGCCTCTGTGTGTTCCTCTGAATCTAGCCTTTTCCTT